AAGAGAAGCTGACAGGACCAGCTGATGTTTTTGGAAAGGCGTTTTAAGAAATCACTGCAAAGAAAATGCAGTGAGGTCTTCATAATAGACAACTACTGGATCTGTGGCTGTGTTACATGCTGGACCAGGGCATGGCTGTGACACTTACACTTCTGATCCATGGTAAACTAAGCAGAGACCCGAGCACAGGCACTCGTCTGATGAAGCCCACTGCCACTGGGAAGAATCCCCTGTTTAAACAGACAGAGAGAATAAGATGTGACAAAAATAAATAAGTAAAATCACATCGATCCAGAATATAATGAAAGATGTCACTTCTCCTTCTGCTGAGCTGACCTGAATAAGAGAAAAAAGCCGTAGATCTCCAGAATGATTCCAATGATTGGCCAGCCAATCAGAACCACAAACACTCCTCCCAGGAAGAAGCTGGTGGCTTTAACTTTGTGTCTCTGGAAGAAAAATCTCAATGTACGTTCCAGGCCGATGATGAAGGACAGGCCTGAGACAAACAAAATCTGTACAACAAGCACAGAAACATAAAACAATCACAAGTCTGACATTTTTCAGATCAGATTTTTTTTTCCAAAAAAGGACGTTTGAATGTGCATTGATATCACTTGTCAACTCACGTTCCCAATGGCAAGGAGAGCTTTATCAAAAAACAGCATCATCCCAAAGAAGAGAAAAAACACGCCAAACCCTGTCAGCCCCATCCCAATCTCTGCAGATTTTAAGAAACAAAACCTGTATTATCACAACAGCACATGTCACAGACTGTCATTGGGATGAAACTTTAATTTGACTGGAAACTGAGCAACTGCAAACACAAAAAAGGTACAACGAAACAGATTAAGTATAAGAGGACAAACTAGAGAAAAATACTGTTACCAAAACACACAAAAAAACTAATATACAATGAATGGTTAAAAATGGTTTTAATGCTTGTGGGGAGTGAAAATAAACTATCTTCATCCAACCCCAAAAGCAAAAGATAATTTTTAGGCCTAACATTCATTGCATGAATGACACAATATACAAATGAATTTTGTGGTATTAATTACTGCTAGGACGTTTATCGCGAAGCATTATATTTAAATGTAGTAATAAGCATTATAATTCGCTTAAATTATTATTTAACAGGGACGTGCTTATACGTGACGTCACCATGGTCTCAACCTATAGTGTTTGAGTGTTAGCCTTATACGTTGAACCGCGTTTCACAGAAATAGGACAAAGACATGGCACAGCGGTGAAACATAAAATAGTCTTACTTTGTGAGTCCGTGAGGGAAATCATTTTGGCAGCAGCTGGACAATTTATTAAATCACACAAAGCTCGTAACGACGCAGATCTGCTGCTTTTTTGTTAACGCCAACTAAACTGTTGATACAGCGGGTTAGCAGCGGTAAGAGCGAAACTAGCGGTTTGTAAAGACACGTTTTCCTGAGCACGTAATGACGCATCCACCAAAGATTGTCTATGCTAATAGCTTCTGTCCACTAACTGCATTCAGGGTCACAGGAATGAATTGTCAAGCTCAGCGTGATTCAGATGTCCTGTCTGCAGAGCTTTTGATTCATAATCAAAAGTTGTGGGATACTGGGAGGATATAGTGCCCATATTTTCTGACATTGATCTGCTTCTGCGTGGTTTATTGTACCTAGATGTTTTGGCAGAGTAAGCACTCTTCGTACTTTTACACTCTCTACTCTACGGATGACGCATGCACGTCCGAACTGTGATTACTGGTAGCGTATTCATTTAGATTATGTGTTCGTTTTTTTTGTTTGTTTGTTTGTTTTTTTTAGATATTTAACAAATATGTAATCATACTAATATATGTATTTAATTAAATGTTGTCATAGATTCGGAGAATGTTTAGCACAGAAAAGCCTTTTCAATGATGTCATAAAAATAACTACAACTCCCATAAAGCCCTTTGATAAGGAAGCGTACAAACGTGTTCAACTGAAATAGGAGTTTGAACTGAAGAAGAAGACCTCTTCTAAAACATATAACCGCTCCTGTTTTTGCAAATATGCACCGATCGCTAAACAAGTGACACGCTTTACACCAGCTTCTTGTCAGCAGTAAACCACCATGGGGACAGTTTTTGCCATTGTTCTTGTTTTTGTCGGATGCTGTAGCAATGTGGTGTTCCTGGAGCTTCTTGTAAGGTCAGTGACAAGCTCAGGCATTTAATGGAGTCATGTCGACTTTTATACGTGGACGTTTTCACAGCTGCTACTCATTTTTATTTCCACGTCCCTCTGCACGAGTTGGCTATTTGTTACTCTATCCAAAGTATAGTTGCAATGGAGTGATATATTAGCAGGTAGACATAGAACTGTTGTTTAACTTGATCATTTTCATGTGTATGTAGATTAGCCAGATTGATAACAGTTACAGTCCTACACCCAGCTCTTGTGGAAAAAAAAAACATTAAACTATTTCTAACAATATCAAGAACTTTACCTCCTTCCTGAGTGATATGTACTCTTTCCACCTCTGAATATTTTAAAGTAGAGCTCGTCAGCATGAACAAGAATATCAGACAACCTTAAGGCTTCTTCATTTAAGATTGTATTATTGTGTGATATGAGAAATCCCAGGGAGTTTTAATTGATGGCAGCAGAAAGTATCCACACACTGGACTGGAGTTCCCAAGCCTGTCAGTGTGTATAAAAAATAAAAATAAAAAAAAAACCTTTCAATGTATTTTCAGAAAGTACTGGATAAATCTGACACAATAACTACTTTCATTTAGAGGAAAAAAAAACCATTGAGTGACTGATTTAAAGTATTAAAAATATCACAGTAATCTCATTATAGTAAGAGAACATTGCAAGTAGTTGTTTGTTGTTTTGCTATTCCATTGTTTAAAGCAAAACCTTTTCAGCTTTACACCATAAACTGTTTACTCTGGATATATTTTAGCAAATCTCAGTTTTGTCTGTTGTTACTTTGTTGTGTTTTTTAGAGAGTTCCCGGGATGCGGCAACCTCGTCACCTTTGCTCAGTTTGCATTCATCGCATTAGAAGGCTTCATCTTTGAAACAGACTTTGGGAGGAAAAAACCTGCAATTCCTATCAGGTAACAGAAGAATCCCCTCCTTGATGAGGTGTCTGCTTCTTGCTGCAGAGAAGATGCAGATCTGACAGTAAAACAAACTTCTTATTTTCCCAGAAACTATGTGATCATGGTGGCGATGTTCTTCACAGTCAGTGTGATCAACAATTACAGTCTCCACTTCAACATCGCCATGCCACTACACATGATCTTCAGATCAGTAAGAAACAATCCTCTTCACCTCATCTTCATTGTTGAATATCTTTTATCTCTATCCATCACCTCCATTCCTGTCTGAACCTCTGTGGTCTTCTTCTTTGCAGGGATCGCTAATTGCTAACATGATCCTGGGAATAATAATCCTGAAGAAAAGGTATCAAAGATTTTTATTTTCAATTCACTATATGTGCAGGACATACAGAAAATTGAAATACTGTTTCTCTCTCACCTAGTATTGAAAGCCATTGCCATTTAGGAAACAAAAATAGAGTTAAAGTAAAAATAGAATAAGACAACTAAGTCAAAGTGATTAGGATAAAACTAAACAGTACAACCTAATAGGCTATGATTCAAACCATGTACAATCAGTGACAGTAGTGCAAATAATAATAAAATTGTCAGATGGTTGTGAGATTGAGATGCACATGGACAGTAGTGCAAATGACCAACAGCAGCAGATATGATGGTAAAAAAAAAACAGTCAGCAGCAGATTTACATGTAATATAACAAGAAGGAATGTCCTGGGTTTGTGCAAAACAGTAGAGGTAGACAACTCACAACTTCTTTCAGGTTTTTCCTCATCTGCGGGATAAAAGCATCACATAATGTGTTTAGTTTGGTTGCAGTTATTTGTATCTCCTCTTCTCTCTGTAGGTATCCAGCCAGTAAATATCTGGCTATAGCTTTAGTTTCAGTTGGCATCTTCATATGCACCATCATGTCTGCCAAGCAATTGGTGAGTCCCCTGCACATGGTTATTGTTGTGATGCAATATAATCCTTCAGTCCAAGACAGTTTTCTCTCTAAATATGCACAGCCTTGACCATGACCTGTAATATATTTTGTGTGCATGCATGGATTTTGTCAGTTTGTTGTTTTGTTTTAAGCAGAATGTGGCAAATGAGGGATCAGAAGAGCAAGGTTTTTATGCCATCATGCACTGGCTTATAGGTGAGTTTTGGATCCCAAATTCTTTAAACTGGCTTTTTATTTGGAACAGCTGAGACCATTACTCATGTAACTTTTTGGTTTCCTTCTACGATAACTAGATGGATAGACATGTTCAGATTTAACACAGCCGTGTGCATTTCTGTCCATTCAGGCATTGCCATGCTGACCTTTGCTCTGCTGATGTCTGCAAGGATGGGCATTTTCCAGGAGACGCTGTACAAGCAGTATGGAAAACACTCCAAAGAGGCTCTGTTCTATAATGTGAGTTTTCATCCCTCTCTAATATTCAGGGAATCCCCTGAGGGACTTGATGCTTTGTTTGAGCTTTTATTATGTTGTTTAGGGAACCGTTCAACTCGATACTTTACATTCCTTCAGTGCAGCTCTTAGATAACTCATGTCTGTCTTGTCTTCGTCAGCACTGCCTGCCTCTGCCAGGCTTCCTGCTTCTCTACACAAACATCTACAACTACTGTGTTTACTTCAGTCAGAGCGGTGAGTTCCATCCATTCGTTCAGGAAAGTGTGTGGGTGGAAAGTTCGTGTCTCTGACTTTGCGTAAACCACTGTTTGTTTCTTTGCAGCTCCTGTAGTCATTCCTGTGGTTGGAGTGACCATGCCCATAATGTGGCTCTACCTTCTCATCAACGTCATCACACAGTATCCTATTAAAAAAATTTATCTTATGGGATTGTATTTATTTATCTACAGTAACATTTATTACAATGGCCCCCAACCGCCACAAGGTGCCACATGATTAAGAAAAGTTAAATAATAAGTCTGATTGTGTAAACACACAATCAAAATAGTGTGAAGTATTAATGTTAGCAGCCTAGGAACTTCAGTTTTGTTTTTTATTTTCTTGTTGTAGACTTTAACTGTTTTCCTCAGGTATGTGTGCATCCGTGGTGTTTTCATTCTGACCACAGAGTGCACCTCGCTGACTGTTACTCTAGTGGTGACACTGAGAAAGTTCTTCAGCCTCATCTTCTCCATCATTTATTTCCAAAACCCATTCACTGCCTGGCACTGGGTGGGCACAGCTGTGGTCTTCCTCGGTACTCTGCTGTACACAGAGGTGTGGAGCAGCATCCGCATGGTTCTGCATGGACCCGATGCTAAGAAGAAGAAGGCCGAGTGAAGAGGGAGGGACTGGAAAAACAAGCAGTGTTGGACTTGGAGATTGTTTTTGGTCAAACTATTCTCCAGCGATTTTATAGTTACATCATTTTGTTTTCATACTTGATCACGCATCACAGACATGGATGGATTATTGAGCGGACCTACCAGGCACAGGCCCAGCGGCCCCCAAGACCAGAGAACTGTGACACGAGTGTTGGCCTTTCTATTGGAAAACCAGTCAAATTTCTACAAAATTACTACAAAAGGCCACAAAAAGAGAAAAAAAGATGCAAAACAGCTGGAAAAACAAAACACCATGGACACCAAATGGCTAAAAATACAGAAATTGACCCCAAGACAGCAAAAATATACAAAACAACAAAGAGACAACCACAGAAAGATGTAAAACAATAGACACAAGAAAAAAAATAGGTGCAAAATGGCTCAAAACAGACGCAGAAAAACCACAAGAAGACAAACTGAATCACAGGGTTGCTCACACTGTCTGTTGTGGTTCTAGAAATGGAGGAGGGGTGAGGGCCCTGTACATATCTGTGCCCAGGGACCCGTTGTCTCATAATCCGTCCATGGTCACATAGTAAACCCTTCACACACTGACAGAAACAGGTTAACGGCTAATGCTGGTGATGATCTTCTAGATTTTTGTTATGTTCAGCAAATCCCAGGAAAAGACCAAAACCAACAGTGCGGTAGAAAAGTGAAAGTACCAAGAAGACGACTAAGCTCTCAGTCCAAAATCCCATTGGTTCAAACAGCTAAAACAGCTATTACATTAACAATGGCTCATATGGCTAGTTGTTACTGGAAGGTAGCCCCTTGTTGAGATGAACCTACAGAGCATTATCTCCCAACTCTGCAGTTCACTGGAGCATTTTATCATCTTTTTAAGTCAGTGTTTTAGTTTTACCACAGCTTTACAGTTTTTGATTCCCACCACTCTCATCAGTGTCGTTTTATGCTACATCAGACAGCTGTTTTCAATTTAAAAAAAAAAAAAAGCAAAGCAAGAATTTTGGTGCAGACATGTTTAGCATATGGAGCACTGGGCATATTAAGAGCCAGATATTTCCCTCTGGAGTTGGTAGACACCACAGACAAAGCTAAACCTGACTCCAAATAAAGGATTATAGTGCTCTGTATCTGCTGGGTGTGTAAACACACAACAGTTTGCTAACAGCTTCACCATGCCAACTTAAAAGGTGACTACAACTGTAACAATTAGTTACAGTCAGTTGGTCAAAAAGTTGACAGTCAGCAGTGATATTTAGAATAAATAAAAAAGCAATTTAAAGCAAAGATTAGATGTATTTAGGTTTGCAGAAGAGCTCATTTGCTGCTATTTATGGTCACATTGTAATAAATGGAATGTTTTGGGGTTTTGGAGTAATTGGTAATGAAATTGTTAGTTGCCACCTTAAATATGTTAGTGCTCTGTTTACGGCTTGTTTTCCGTGACCAAAAATCTGTTATTGGAGGTTTAAAAACTAGACATGAATATAAAGCTTCCTCCTTTTTTTTTTTTTGTACATTCGATGCAGTATTATGAATTAATTAAGCAGCAGAACCGTTTCCGTCAGATTGATGCAAATAAACACCAGTGTCAGGGATGAAGGAACATGACACCCAATGAAGTGATGTGGCTCACTGATATGTGTTGAACACTTTGGAAAACAATCACGCTCTCTCTGGCACAGAGGAATATATTGAACTAGGTTGATGGTTCATCATTAGTTTTGGTCTTTTCAGTAGATTTTGACAATGACAAAATACAGAATATTATCAGATTTACCCTTAAACATTAGTACCTCGTTCACAAATGCAAACACATGCTGCGCATTTTGTCTGTACTGTAGTATTTATTTTCTGTAAGTGACAGTTAATTCACTCCGTATTTAAAGTCCATCAGAAGGATTGCACTGAATACAATAATGTGCTGCAGAATGGTGCACAGTATATGAATCTAAATGTTACTGGAGCAGCTGGAGTCAGGACTGTTGAGATATAGAATCTTACAAATGTGTTTTGTTTAGTTTTTATTACCTTGTGTGTCCTAGTCAGTGTGTCTCTGGTGTATTGGACCAACATTTGTCAGCAGAAAACATGTACTGTACAATAAACCTTGACACTCCCTGCCCACTGAAATGAGCAGGACAGATAACTAGGTCTCTGTAGCAGCAAGGTTGTGCATCTCCATAATTTCACTCAGAAGTGTACCTTTAACAAGATTAGTGGATTTTTAGTTTGTTTTAATAATTACTCCGGAACAGGAACTAATGTTCTCTTCCAGTTCATTAATTTAAAGGCTCAGCTGACCAATCCAGAGAGGTGCTGTTCAGCTTCATCCCATAGCAGCGGATGATGTTCACACCCGGCGGTGGGAGGGGCGGGTTGCTGCAGCTGTTTCACGGAACACACAACCATGTTCTGGATTAAGTCCTTTCAGTAACCACACAGTTCTGGTAGTGAGCGGGTGAGGATGGGCGGGAACAGGCCGAGTCACATTTCTCATGCAGTTGAAGGCGGGGGAATTACTTTTGTGCAGGGCATTCGGGTGAATCAAAGCTCGGGGAAACTTTGCATGGATTTAAAATGGCAGAAACGATGCAAACTAAAGGTCTGTGCACACTGCTTGTGCAGAGCTGCTTCAGCAGAGATTGTGTAACCTATGTAAACCACTTCACTCAAAGGCAATGCTTCACTGCTCAGGTTTTAAATATAGAAAGTCCATGCTTGGTTGACGGACAGACCATTTGGAAAAAAATACAGCTCTGTAGATAGAATAGCCAGTTTGTTTTGTTTGTTTTTCTATAGCCTTAACACTTGAATTATTATGATGATGATTACATGATAATGGTATTTTTATAGAGAAGAGTCATCTAAAGTTGGCCACTATACGCTACTGGCCATATGAGAACAAAGAAAGACTGTGGCAGAAAATTTGTGTTATTTCTTTTTTCAAAAGTTACATGATCTCATATTAAAACTTGAAAACGGCTGTGAATCTTCATCAGGATCGTTTCTGTGCCTTTGATCACATTTGATCAAGCCCACAGCTGTTATCTGATATTGTTTCAGATGTTTCTAAATCCTGATTAGTGCACATAATTATGTCACAGAGGCACAGAGTAAAACATAAAAACTGAAATCTCACAAGGGAAATCACTGTTTTAACTTTAGCAAATTATGTTGTGTTATCATAGTGTAGGTCTCCATCACTCATAGGAACAGAGAAAGTGTGTTTTTGAGACCACTAAGTGGCAGTTGGACAATAACGAGAATAATACAGTATCATATTGTTTACAATAGGAGGTCATTTGTCTCAGTACATATTCACCAGAGACAGAACAACTGTTTCAATGTAGGCCAGTCATCTGCTCTGGTACTGCTCTCACAATTACTGACAGTTTAGCTTTAAGTAACCATGTTTGCAGCCTCATGTTCACTGCTGCAGCAACAAAAGGTGCTAGTCTGTATAAATGAAGCAAAACATAAAGGATCATAAGGTCAAAGTTCATCGCAGATGGTTTTCATTTTGTCATCAGTGTGAAAGTAAGGTATTTATATGAGATGAATACAGAATGATAGCCTGGCTGATCATTATATATATATGTGCCTTGAAGTTATGAAAGCTAGTTATCATCTTTCACATGTGTCAGTGTTCTACTAAACGCACAGTGTAATGTAACAAGGACATTTATGCATTTAAGGCTATTGAACTGTACACAAAATATTTCAGGGACTTTTCTTCTTTAGTCTATCTTCCTCAAAGTATGGTGTGTGCAAAAACAACTGGTCTCAATAAATTATGCTGTTCAATCACATAATGACTTTAAGTTTGAAAAAATACGTGTGGGTGTTTTCTGCCCTCTAGTGGATTTAGGTAAAGTAAAGGAATCCACAGTTGATAAAATGTTAACTTAGTTCGCTGAAATCATAATTTCATAGTTTTTATTTATTTATTTATTTATTTTTGTATTGTAAGTGTATTTCGATGCCAACATTTTTGTACTTTTACTCAAAATTGTTACTGCAGTGCTTTTATTTGTGACAGAGTGTTTCTACACTGTGGTATTGTCACAAGATCTGAGTACTTCTTCTGCTGCTGTCTGTCCTTTTTTTCTTTTTATGTAGCACCACTCTCCCAAAATAATTGCATATGCCACAAAATGAGATCAGCACTTTTCTATATATTGGTTTAAAAAATAATCAAGTGAAAAGTAAAAGAAAAAAAACGTAAAGAAATTTTGTTTGGTTTTGCTAATATATTCACACATACAGAAATGTGGTTTTTGCAGTGAGGCGTTTAGTCTATAGAAATGAACAATATCCAGTCTTTTTCTGTTTCTGCTCCTACTTCTGGTAAAAACCACAGTACTGCTACATCACAGTGTGCGCGTGTTCTACTATGCAAATGTCTGTCTCATCTAATTTTAAGTTCATGTCCTACTTCCACTGAAGAGGAAGTGAGTGTTTGTGTGTACAGTATGTGTCTGTTGTGTGTGCGTGCAGAGGCATATAGAGATGTGCAGGTGGAAAGGTCCGATTTTGGCTGTTGACATGTAAGTGGTTAAAGATTTATACATTCTCACCAGCCATGCAAACTGCTTAAATATATTGATTATTGTGTTGTCCAGCTAGAAAAAAATGCCAGTTCTGTTAGTTTTTGACATTTTGAAGGTTAGGTTGTGTGTGCCCGGCAGCTTCAGCCTCTTACAGCTTCATCCACAAGTAAAAGAGAAGTGAAGCTTTGTTCTGCAGGCATAATCTGGTCTTAAGTTGTTTCTTTAGTCACCGCAGAAGCTACTGCCAAACTTAAAATGTTTATGTGTGGCTTTTTGTGTTTATCCACAAGAGTGGCGTGTGTTAAACATTATGTAATTGCATTTGAGTACCCCAGTGCCTTCTGAAAATAGCTGTAGCTCACATGTATTTGTGTTTGGTCTATGTTTAACTCTCCAGTGAAGTCCAAACATCTGCTGCAAAAAATGTAAACATGGTAAAAATGGTCCTGTTTTCCTAAGTTTTAGAGAAATACAGTATTTGTTTTTTACTATTCATTCTAACCGGGGCTGCGCCCAACAACACCCAGCTGGTGATCATAGTGGAGCATTTAGCAGCTAAAGAGCCAGATGTTTCTATTTGGAAATGGTGGCATCCAAACAGAGCATTGGACTCATATTCAACATGTGGCCAGAAACATGACTCCAGGTAAATGCACTGCTTCATGTCTGTCGGATGTATAAATAAAGCAAGTGTTTGCTAACACACTGGTCATATCGACCTTATTAATTAATAATGTAGCAGAGTTGTGTTTAAAGCTTGTCTCTGTTGCCCCCCAGGTGGCCAACAATAACTACTGCAGATTTAATAATAACTAACGTACTGGCTCCTTTAAGAAAATTCTCCTCTGCTTCCTTGCACAGTAATTAGCAAAAGTCCACAAGAGTTCACATAGAACAGTTGTCTGAACAAAGAGCAGCAGAGCGCTAGAGTCCCACTCACTGTTTAAGTGAGGCTTGTACTTGAAGTGAACTCTCATAACTGCAGGTGATACCATCCTTAAGGTCACTGGCCCCACTACAAGCCAGGTCCTTATCCTTATTATCACTCTGCTAAACTTGCTGTAAACTCCAAAAAAGTCAAAATGTGTACACTTAACATCAGATGTTCCTAATCCTACTCATGCTCTAAATGTCTAAAAGTCCAAATATTTAGAGTTTAGATTCTTAGTTGAGTTCAAAGTTCATAACCACAATGCCAGGACACAGGAGAGATTGTCCCTAAAAGCGCCTCATACAAACTCTGAACTGGGGAAGACTGGTTTCTAGTTCTATGCACCTCATTGCTGGAAAGAGCTGCTTGAAGTTAAAGAAACTGACAGATTCAAAAATGTTACCACAGCAAATCATCACATCTAAGATTAACTATATCTGGTAGACCGTTGACAGGTGGTTGAAAATGCTTTCAAATTAGATTTTGATTTGTATTTTTGATTATA